GCACCGTTCTATTCAAGCTACATGTGGTATCTTCACCCATACGATATTGATTTCACTGGGTGCAATGTGTCTCTTTTCGTTCGAAGGCTAGTGGTTATCCGGTATATTTTTTGAGTTACGATTCGCAATCTTCAAACCTTGTATTAGCAAATCGATGTACCTAATAAAACGTGGAAACTAATACGAAAGGTGTCTTAGTTGCTATGGTTGTGGTGATTTTCCTTCAAACCCCTCGCTGGCGGCTTTTTAATTTTTTTTTCGACTGAGCATTTTCGAGGTCTTCCATTCCTTTTAGCTGTTGGTAAGAATCAGCCGCTGAAACGCAGTGGCACACGGTGGTGTAGTTCCCAGCCTATCTACTATTCCCAATTGAAGCAGAAACGTGATGAGTTTTGGGATACTGCACCGGCTTTTGAGGGACGCCAGGAGATTTGGGATGCTCTCCGCTCTGCTGCGGAGGCTGCGGAACGTGGTGACCACGAGATGGCTCAGGCCATCATTGACAGCGCCAACATAATTCTTCCCACAGGTACGTTTACGCTCTTCTTGCTCCTCTACGCATAGTGGTTCGATCAGAAGTCTGGTAAGATACCTCGAGTGTTTTTTTCTGAAAACAAATGCTCTTTTAATTCTCAGGTCATGCTGACGAATGGAAATATTCTGTGTTTCATAGCTGCCGCATCACTTACTCGCTAGCACCTCTTTTTCTGACAAATGCACGCAATGAAAGCCATTGTATTGTGCTGTAGGGAAGTAGTGCTCGCCTCAGTTTTATGACGTACTCTTTATCTATTTCATTCGTCATGAATGTGCTGCCTGTGGAAGATGAATAATCCTTTCGTTATTTTTACCCCTTTTTAGTCGTCCTCAACCATAATAATATTTTTTTCGGTATGTTGTTTTTCCTAGCACTTTCTGTTAGGTTCCCAAGTATATTCTTAAGCATGGTGTTTCCCCTCACTTTTACCACATATCGGATGACTAAAGGAACTTGTGCGTTGTTTGGTGTCGTTTGGTATCGTAACTCAGCCTGTGAAAACTTGTGAACTAATCTACTGGACATTAGGATAACTTTGAATCCATATCTCTTGAATCATCATTATTCTCTGTCCCATACGGCTTTTGTTGTTTCGTAGAGTTTAGATCAAACCTGAGGTAGTTTCAGATTGTATGCTTTGTGAGTTTTGTTTGGCCTAATTTGAAAGCTGGAGAAGCCTAATGGCAAGTTTATGTTTTATTCGGAAAAGGTAAGGTTCCAGAAAGTATCACAAAAAATCAACTAGTGCAAAGAGTTTTAGTGAATGTTTTGAGCAAAAAGGCTTAGTAAATGGGCGGCAAATGGAAGGGGTTAACAAGGAGTGACGATGGCCTCGGAATATTATCAATTTGTTCGTTTGTCTGTTCACCAACTGACTGATCGGTTGACTTTTAGTGAAACGTTCAATCCCTGCGCATTACATTTACTGTTCACTCGAT